CAGAAGCTGCTCTTCATATTAGTGACAAACTTTGGTGTTTTTTTTACGAGTTACCTTTATTTTTGCTTCTACTTTTCATTTAAAATAAGTTTCCATTCTCGGCAGGTTTATAAGGTTCTTCTTCTACATATTAAAAAAGTTGTTAAACATCTGAGTGGTGCACTACTGCTACTAGTGGTGAGAAAGTGTATTGCACGTTATGTAAGATCAATGCGGTCCTCTGTGGCCCAAAGTTAAAAACTGTTGTTCTTTTGAGGCCCTTAAGGTGGTGCTGTGGCCCACAATTGGGCCGCGGCCCATAGGTTAAGAATCTCTGCACAAAACCACCCATAGTTTCTGCTTCCAATGAGCCAGACCAACATTACTACGATTACTAAGGAGTATATAAAGTCACAAAATTAAAATAAAATAAACTCGTAAACTCGAGGGATCAGCAAGATTATAGAAATTCATGTTAAAGACCACGAGACCATCTCCAAGCAGCTTCATGTTCCTCTGCCCACAGCTGCCAATGTTAGGGAAAAAAGTTCAAAAGTCTGTGGCCAACCTGCCAGGATTTGGACGCAAGAGGAAATGCAACCCCAGGCTGATCAGGCAAAATATTCGAATCCTAACCTGTTAAAGTTGAACCTGAAGGTATGTCTACCTTTTCACGATCAACTGAAGGCTGATTCCTCTTTTAGGTCCTGTTTTAAGTTTCCTTTCACTTAGCAATGCTTTCAAACTTTTGCAAAATATAAAAAAAACATTCATCTACCTTTTTTTACGTATATTTTTAAAAATATGGAGCAGGACAAGCAAAATAAGTCACAAATAAATGCTTAAAACCCTCTCTAAAAGGATGTTAGCGGTGTAAAGCAGCCTCATATTGAAGACATCTGGTCCTATCTGAGGGTTTGTGTGTCGGGTTGAAGCTCAGATCTGCATGGATGCCCTGTAGCAAACATTTCTCCTGCGTGTGAGAATAAATTAAGCGTCACCGTGTTCTCGTGTTCTCTGGCTTCAGTCAGCCTTGAGACGGCTGATTATTTTTCACTGAATTGAGTTTTTACCTCGCTGGCTGAGTGCATCAGACTCCGCTTTGACATGGTGTCTGAAAAATCTGCCTCTTATCCTTAATAAACCTTGGTTTTCTTTGATTAATTTCTTTTTTTTAAAGCAACTTGAAAGCAAAGAGTTTTCACATTTTCCCAGAAAATGTTTCTTGATGTTTCCATCTTCTCTCTGGTTTCCTGCTTTACTTCACATCCTCCTGACAGGAACGGTTTTAATCAAACTGAAGCTGCTGCAAAAAACGGGGAAATGTGTAAATTTCTACACGGCCGGGGCAGATGATTTGCTCCTTAAAGCTTTTAAACTGCTTTAAGCTGGTTTCTGATGGACAGAAACGATGAAGACAGAAGAGGTTTCCTCTCCTCTTACAGGAATATAAAATATTTCCAGACTCTTTTGGTGGCTTTAAGAAAAATGAGCAAAATTTCAAGCAGCTCTGTGTTGCAAAACTTGAATCGTGCTTAAATTTCGTTTTTATTTCCGTGGCAGCCATCTTGAGTCAGGTTTATCATCCAGTAGCTCATGAGATACTTTGCTAACAGTCACAAACGTGATTGTCCACCTTTTGTTAGCAGAAACTAGTAAACCAGCTCTTCCTCATATGTAAATAAATTGATCCTGTTAACACAACTGCTTCTAATCAAAGCCTTTCCATCCTCCTGCAGGAGGTTTAAATAAAATCCACAAACTATAAAACATTTAGTTTTTCTTCTCTGGTGCAACAGAGAAAAACTAAAAACCGTTGCAGTGCAGCAGAGGAGCACTCACACAGAGAACAAAAAGACGAGTTCAGACAAGAGTCTGCATTATAAATATTTCCATTTGATACATTTTTACAGCTGAAACCAGAATGTGAGGAAACGTAAACAGATCCAAGCCCTGAGTCGCGACGGGCTTTTATTTTGAAATTACAAGTGTCTGTGCATCTTACTGTATGTTTCTAGTTATATTTTAAATATCCCTTTTTTGATTAAAGCCATGAAAGAGTTTGCAGGGAAGCTGCAGCATCCTTTAATTGAATAGATTATATTGGATAAATGATTTATTGTAGCTTGAATAGATAAAATGTGACATTTAGATTAAAAAATGACCATTTACAGGGTGAAACATCTTGACTGCAGCTTTATAGACTATCTGTTGTTTTCTTTGTTAAACGCTGCAAAGACAACAGTCTATTCTCTGGAACATGATACCTTACATAGAGATGCTGTAGGATGTATTGGCCCGTTGTTCATCGTGTTCAGAAGTTTGTTTTGCTGTAATCGTCTCAATTATCCCAGATTATCAGTATAATATAAAAATGTAAATGCCAGAGTTTTACCTCGAGTTGATCTTTTTCTGAAGAGTGAAGCTCAGCAGAGCAAAAGCAGCTGTTCTGAAACAAATAAAGTAGATTTGCTGGAAGTGAGGAGGAGGAGAGCATCTTTCGTCACAGAGAAAGTAATTTTTCAGATGATGTAGCTGCAGGAGCTGCTTCTTGCGTGACGAAGATGGAGTGATAATACTCTGGGGATTTGATCCTGAACTTACCTTTTTTTTTTTTCTTGCTAGTCACGGTGAAAACGCCAGAAGGCACAGCCTCGTTTTGCCACACCTCATTAAATTCACTGAAACAGAGGCAGCGGAGTGACGGCAGTGCAGGCTTTGTGTCCAAAAGTGGAGCTGAGAGGGAAATCATCATCAGTGCTGATGACAGTATTCTCATACTTGGATGTTTTACGCTGTTATTGCTGCCATAAATCCATCATGGTCAATTTTTTAATTGATCTCTACAAAATAAAACATATAATGTATACCGTATACTGTATATATA